TCTCAAAATATTCAACATGCAAAATTTCTTAATAATTTAGCTCAAAATACTTCCAAGGCTCTGCGTAATCAAGTAAATATTGATGAAAGGTTTGAGACTAAATCAAACGCCTTAGAGGCGACTGTTATAGACATAGGTAATGAAACATCAGGTTTAAAGTTTAAGGAAAGGCTTAAATGCCACGCAAATTATAAATATGTGTGTGTTACAGCTGCCAAGTACAATGCTTCTCTCTGGGATTGGGAGAAGGTTAAAAACCATTTGTTAGGTATTTGGTAAAATAATAATAATAGCTTAGATCTTTTGGAACTTCATCACCATATCCAAGACATTCAAAATAATAGAGCTGATTTTTCGGATCCTTATTCTTTGGCTAACCAAATATTGAAGCAGTTAAATGGATTTAACCCTGGAAATATTCTTAAACACCTGGTACATCATTGGATTGTTCTCTTTGCTGTTAATTCTCTTTTGTGTTGTAATTATAGGATGGCGAGTCTTCGGAACAAGAATGCAGAAACTCGAAAGAGTGAACCACTGCCTGATTTTTAAGAAAAAAAGGGAAGAATCAACAAATGGAACTTACTCAAACTAAAAAGTTTTTTCTCAGCAACAGAAACAATAAGAGAGGTAAATAGGGAGCCTACATCCTGGGAACAAATTTTTACTCCTCACACTTCAGATAGAGCCCTAATATCCAGAGTATACAGAGAACTCAAAGAATTAAACAATAAGAAAACAAACAACCCAATCAACAAATGGGCCAAGGACCTGAACAGACACTTCTCAGAGGAGGACATACAATCAATCAACAAGTACATGAAAAAATGCTCACCACCTCTAGCAGTCAAAGAAATGCAAATCAAAACCACCCTAAGATACCGTCTCACTCCAGTAAGATTGGCAGCCATTATGACATCAAACAACAAGAAGTGTTGGCGAGGATGTGGGGAAAAGGGTACACTTGTACATTGCTGGTGGGACTGCAAATTGGTGTGGCCAATTTGGAAAACAGTATGGAGATTCCTTGGAAAGCTGGGAATGGAACCACCATTTGACCTAGCTATTCCCCTTCTCGGACTATTCCCTAAAGACCTTAAAAGAGCGTACCATAGGGATACTGCTACATCGATGTTCATAGCAGTACAATTCACAATAGCTAGACTGTGGAACCAACCTAGATGCCCCGCAATAGATGAATGGATAAAAAAAATGTGGCATTTATACACAATGGAGTATTACTCTGCACTAAAAAATGACAAAATCCTGGCATTTGCAGGGAAATGGATAGTATTAGAGCAGATTATGCTAAGTGAAGCTAGCCAATCCCTAAAAAACAAATGCCAAATGTCTTCTTTGATATAAGGAGAGCAACTAAGAACAGAGCAGGGAGGAAGAGCATAAGAAGAAGATTAACATTAAACAGGGATGAGAGTTGGGAGGGAAAGGGAGAGAGAAGGGAAATTGCATGGAAATGGAAGGAGACCCTCATTGTTATACAAAATTACATATAAGAGGAAGTGAGGGGAAAGGGGAAAAAAACAAGGGAGAGAAATGCATTATAGTAGATGGGGTAGAGAGAGAAGATGGGAGGGGAGGGAAGGGAAGGGGGGATAATAGAGGATAGGAAAGGCAGCAGAATACAAAAGACACTAGTATGGCAATATGTAAAAACGTGTATGTGTAACCGATGAGATTCTGCAATCTGTATACGGGGTAAAAATCAGAGTTCATAACCCACTTGAATCAAATGTATGAAATATGATATGTCAAGAACTATGTAATGTTTTGAACAACTAAAAAAAAAAGAAGAAGAAGAAAAAAAGGGAGGAATATGTGGGAAGCCATTCTCGCACGTGATTGGGCATCTCTCTGATTGGGTGTGAGGCGTTCTGGCTAAACTGTCAGAACTAATCCCCACCCTCTCTAGGTGCGAGAGCCCATCCGTGTGGGGGTGTGACTGACCATTGACCCTGAGACCAATCACTGACCCTGACCTTGGAATGCTGTCCCCCTCGACCTTCATTGGATGGAATTTTCCCCTGAATTTCTTGTTCCCCAGTAAAAGGCCACTCTCTGGCGTGCCCTCCCTCTCTCTCTCCTGCTAGTCTGTAAACCTCGCTGCCCCACCGCGGGGCTCGAGGCAGGAGCCAGAGGGGCGAGCCGTCTCAGACCTGGTCAAAGAAAAAGGTAATTTGAATTTATGTGTGTTTATTTTGATCTCACTAGTTAACTTCTATGCTTCGAACCGCTAGTATGAAGCTAGCCTGCTGGTCGCGCGGCTGAGGTTTTGATTTGCATTTCTCTAATTTCTAGTGATGATGAACATTTTTTCATACATTTGTTGATTGATTGTACATCATTTTCTGAGAAATGTCTTGGCCCATTTATTGATTGGGTTATTTTTTTTTTAGTGTTTAACTTTTTGAGTTCTTTATATACCCTAGAAATTAGTGCTCTATCTGATGTGTGAGGGGTAAAGATTTGCTCCCAATATGTACGCTCTTTATTCACCTCACAGATGTTTCTTTTGCTGAGAAGAAACTTTTTAGTTTGAGTCCATTCCATTTATTGATTCTTGATTTTAATTCTTGCGCCAAAGGAGTCTTACTAAGGAAGTTGGGGCCTAATTCCTCATGTTGAAGATTAGGGCCTACTTTTTCTTCTATTAGTTTTCGGCAGACACAACATCTTTGTTTGTATGTGGTGCTGAGGATCGAACCTGGGCCGCATGCATGCCAGGCGAGCATGCTACCGCTTGAGCCAGATCCCCAGCCCCAGGGTCTCTGCTTTTATTCCTACATCATTGATCCATTTTTTAGTTGAGTTTTGTTCATGGTAAGAGATAGGGGTTTAATTTCATTTTGCATATGGATTTCTAGTTTTCCCAGCATCATTTGTTGAAGAGGCTATGTTTTCTCCTATGCATGTTTTTGGCACTGTTGTCTAATATAAGATAATTGTAATTTTGTACCATTACACCCACCTGATATTAAACTGAGGAAGTATATTATTATAAATTCTAAAGCTTGATGATAAATGGAGTAAGAAAAATAAATTGGTGTTAAACTGAAAATGGAAGCAAGACAGGATTAATCTCCCCTCCCCCCAAGTTGGGAAGATATAACTATATATTTTTATGTCTATATAAAGGGAAATGTTAAAAAATTATTGAAATAAGCTGGTGTGTAATCCCAGAGGTTCAGGAGGCTGAGGCAGTAGAATTGTGACTTCAAAGCCAGCCTCAGCAACAGCAAGGCACTAAGCAACTTGGTAAGACCCTGTCTCTAAATAAAATACAAAATAGGGCTGGAAATATGGCATAGTGGTTGAGTGCCCCTGAGTTCAATCTCTAGTAACCTCCACCCCCCCAAAGAAAATATTGAAATAAAGAAAAATTTAAGGTTCTGAAGGATAGGGGGAGGATTTGGTAGTGGTAGTGTTAGGGTGAATAAAGTTGAGAAAGTCATAGATGTTTTCATTTTACCAGGAAAATAGGGTTTCTAGTGGATCTTTTCTATCTTTATAGCAGTGCATTGGTAAAGTCATGTGCCAAGTAGGAGAGGATGGGTAGTAGAGGGAGTGAAGGTTTGCAATAGGTTGGAAGCATCAGAGATTTATTGAAAAGAATTATAGTACCAAGTGCAGAGAGAAACTAATTGATTTCTTATTATGAAATAATAGCTATTTATATTGCGAAAACAATTCGAAGAACCAACATAGTTTATAAGTATGGTTGTTTGAATTGGTGTGAATTTTGTAGTTTTGGTTTTTTTTTTTTTTTTTTAGTTGTAGATGGACACAATATCTGTATTTATTTATTTTTATGTAGTGCTGAGGATCTAACCCAGTGCCTCTTACATTCAGTGCAGGCGCTCTACCACTGAGCCCCAGCCCTAGCCCTGAAATTTGTATTTTTATGTATATAAAATAAATTAATATTCATATACTTTAGCCCTATGATAGTGTTCAAGAATTTTATAAGTGGTTTCAAGTTATCTTATTGTTATTATTAATTTTTTAGGTACTGGGTATTGTGGTAGGGCTTTCTGTATCCAAGGCAAGTACTCTACCAACCGAGAGTTATATCTCAGCCCCCAGCCCTTTTTTTATTTTCAGAAGGGTGTAGGTTACTTAGCCCTAGCTGGCCTCAGTCTCCTGAGTGGATGGAATTATAGGGTTGTACCACCATATACAACCTCAACCCTTTTTTTGACTCACGATCTCCTGAAGTTGCCCATGCTAGCTTTGACTTGTGATCCTCCTGCCTTAGCCTCTGGAGTAGCTGGAATTACAGGAGTGTGTCAAGTTATTTTTTTCTTTTAGGAACAAATCCAAATAGTGCCTTTAATCTTCTTCTGAACACCAATAGAATCATATTAGAAATACTGTGTAATTAATTAACGTGAACTAGGCATCATATGGTATATATCTAAAGGGACCGTCTTTTCTGCTTAAAATTGATATATATATATATGCATTATTTTATATATTATACAATATTGTCATATATAGTTATATATATACATATATTATTATTATTTTTTTTTTTTTTGTGGTAGTAGGGATTAGACCCAGGGCTTTGTGCATTCGAGGCAAGCATTCTATCAATTGAGCTATGTCCTCAGTCTCTTCCCTACATACAGGCTATTTCTGTTCTTTTAAGCTATAATTTCCTTGAGAGTAGGATCTAGGGCTTACACTTATTTTTTCCCAGCTCCCATCCTTTGTTACGTGGTTGCATAAATGTGAACGGTTTTTAATTTAATGATTGACAGAATGTGTTGTATGCTCTTTTTAAAAAATATTTTTTTTAGTTGTTGATAGACCTTTATTATGTATTTATATGTGGTGCTGAGAATTGAACCCAGTGCGTCACACATGCCAGGCATATGTGCTACCACTGAGCCCCATCCCCAGCTGTATGCTTTAATTCTCAAAAAAGAACCTAAGTTTTCCATCTCATGATTTAACATATATTAACTTTTTTTCTGATGTAGAAAAATCCAGTTTCTGTCCTAAAGGAATTGTCAGCGATGAAGTCTCGCTATCAATCTTTATATGCACGTTTTAAACCAGTTGCTGTTGAGCAGAAAGAGACTAAGAGCCGCATTTATGCTACTTTGAATAAGACTATGACCATGATAGAAGAACTACAAAAGCAAACAGATCTGGAGGTAATGTTTTCAGTTGACAAGTTGGATTTGTATAATTTTAGCTGTGAATGTTGTTGTAAAAGATAAATAAATCCCTTAGTAATTTGGATTTTAAAATTTAGCAGCTAGTTTGAACTGTAGATATAAATGAGATTATTTATTTATTTATTTATTTTTCTTCTTTCTTTCTTGGTGCTGGACCAAACTCAGGGTATTACGAAATTGAGATTTTTTTTTTTTTTTTTTTTTGTGGGGAGGTACTGGGTATTTAATTGGGACAGTTTATCACTGATCTATATTCCCAGCCCTTTTTATTTTTTATTTTTATTTATTTATTTATTTAAAATATCTTTATTAGTTGTTGATGAATTTTTAAATTTTATTTATTTATGGGTCTGTGGTGCTAAGAATTGAACCCAGTGCCTCACACATGTCAGGCAAACGCTCTATCTCTGAGCCACAATCCCAGACCTTATTTTTTATTTTGAGAAAGGGTCTCACTAAGTTGCTTAGGGCCTTGTTAATTTGCTAAGGACCTCACCAAATTGCTGAGGCTGGTGATCCTCCTGCCTCAGCCTCCCAAACCTCTGGGATTATAGGCATGTGCCATTGTATCTGGTGAGATTTTCTTGATACCCTGAGGTATGAAGTGTAATTGCTCTTATGTCCTTGTATTTTAAAATAAGACATGAATGTGACATGGTTAACTTACTTAACCATATGAAAGAGAGAACTTACTCCATAGTTTATTGGATGTACCCACTCTGCTGGTTCTTTTAAAAAGTAATAAGACTTAGAAGACAGAAAACATTAATATCAGTGACTGTTTTTTTTTTTTTTTCTCTGTCTACTAGGTATCAAAACCATGCTAGACAAGTGCTCTGGCACTGAAAAGTCCCAGCCCTTTTTTTTTTTTCTTTTAATTCTGCTTTCTTTCAATTGAGTTGTCAGGCATGGGTGGACCAAACTTCCATTTCCCTTTTCATTTTCTCATTCCATTCCCCATCCCCATCTCATTTAGTATAGGAATCTTTGTAATTGGGAGTCTCTATCACTGATGTAGTCTTCAGATACCTTAGAATAGAAAAAAGGATATGAGCTGCTAACCTAGGGACTAAGACAATTGAAGGATTTGGCATCATGTTCCTTTATTAGCAAAGAAAATTGGGAGTTTAGAAAGAAAATGTAGGCTATTTATAGAAGAAATCAAAGTGTAGAACTAAATTATATGGATGAAGGATTTCCTATAAATTGTTATCTCAGGTGCTAATTGGTAATGGCTACTTAACATGGTGTATTATACTGTATCTGGGAATGGCAGAAAATAGTCTATGCAGTGGGTATGTGAACAAAGTGGGGCTGCCTGCGCTGTATTCATCTGCTAGCTCTGTACTAAATTATATTTCAATTATGGGCTAGTAGCCAGAGTAATTTTCACAGGTTAATAACCCAGTAAATTTGGTCCAGAATTCTTTTTAAAGTTTATATTTTTAGTGCTGAGACAGAATTTCCTATCAATGGTAGTAAATGATATTCTGGAAAGACTTGTTAGTTCTCAGTGAATCTGTAACTGTTTGGGTTGCAGTAAGGCATATGATTTTATCCATGTGATTATTTTGGAGTTCGTCAGTCACACCAGCTATATGTGTAGCTTCTATTGGACATCTAGGCTGACCAAGAGCCATTATGTGGCTGTATAAATGTAATCAATTACATAAAATTGAAAATTCAAGTTACTCACCTCTCAATTGGACAGTACAGATATAGAATATTTTCAGCATCATGGAAAGTTTTATTGGACAGCAGTGCCCTAGAGATTCTGATTCTGTAGGTCTTGGGTGCTCCAGATTTAGCAGTCTCTCTAGAGATGACCTATATAATGAAGCAGATTTGTAACTATTTGAGTGATTCAAGTTGTATCTCCTATTATTTCCCCATATAACCCTTTGTTTCATGCAGACTGTTTGGTGCTTTGTGAAAATTCTATATAACTTCCTTTGTTTTCCTTCTTCTAGCTTTTGCTCTTGCTTCTTCCTGCTTTTGGTAGATAGTGTTGGCTGGCTGTTATCTATTTCCTTCCAATATATCAGAGTATAGATTTTCTTGGGATTCATGTCTTCCCTCAGAGATGCATGACTGTGTTGAAGTTGTTCCTATCCTTAGATCTAGGGACATATTTGATTGGAAAGGGGAGTGGATTTTCCTTTTATTCACATTGGTTCAGGAATGGGCTTATATCCCAATGATGTGAGGAGGGCAAGTTTGGAAGTAGGTAATTAGGAAGTTTCTTCATTGGAGAAAATCTTGAGGACTTCCTCAATATGGTTCAGTTACCAAATTAAGTCAGCTTTGAAGTCTTTCTTTCTTCAGAACTTATTTTGCAATGATAATATATTTTATAGTTTATCTATTTTGAAATGTTTATTATTTGCAGTTAAATACATTTTAATTATTCTTCCAAGTTTAGCCCATGCCTCTTATTTCTCTGAGAAAATTTTGAGACTATTTTTATTCACATCTCCTTTTCAAAATACTTTTAGAATGTGACATACAAACATGATTTATTTGGTTTTCTTTAGTTCTAAAATTGTTTGATTTCTTGGTCATCTTTCTTTGTATTGCAATTTCTCTGGAATCTCAAACATCATAATAACTTGTATGTAGATAATGAAATATTTATTTTTTTCCCCTGTCTTCCTAAAATTGGTGATTACATGCATAGTATAAACTTTTGTGGAGGGGCTGGGGTTGTGGTTCAGCAGTAGAGTACTCGCCTAGTATGTGCGAGGCCTTATATGATTTTAGCACCACATAAAAATAAATAAATAAAGGTATTGTGGCCAACTACAATTAAATAAATATTTAAAAAATAAATAAACTTTTGTTGCTATAAAATTTTTTGATATGATGAAGCAGAGTTTAACAGTCTTTGAAGATTTTTGAAATAAAAATTTTGTCATTTGTTTTCTAGCTGTCACCACTGACTGAAGAAGAGAAAACTGTGACAGAGCAATTAAAATCTCACATAATAGACTCATGAAGAAATGGACTTGCAAAAGGAAACTAAGGAAGAGATCCATTCCAGAGAAATTTAGGAAGATGTCTTGTTAACACTTGATAATTGGAGGTGGGGGACTGGTAAAGGAGAGGAGTTTATATGTCTTTAATATGAGTGGAAATATAAGAGCCAGATATTATCTACATAAAATTTAGCCCCCATGCTTCCCCCAAAAAGAAAAGTGGAATGGAAATGCAGGGATTTAAATATATATTTATAAATATATTCAGTTTTCTTTTTTTATTTTTTGTTGATGCTGGGGTTTGAACCCAGGGCTTTGGGCATGTGAGGCAGGCACTCTACCAACCGAGCTATATCTCCAGCCCAATATACTTAGTTTTGCATTTTTAACTCAAGGAAGTCCCTTAACACTATTTTGGACCGTTTTTTTTTTTTGTATAGTTGAGATAATGTAGATATTCTACCTTGTCATAAAATAATGTTTATGTATATTTCAGGCAGTCAGTGTGTGAATGAGTATGATTTAGAAATTAAAGAATAAGCAACATATTGTTTATATATATATTTGTATAAAACTTACATTTAAAAAAAATTTTAGTTGTAGATGGACACAATATCTTTATTTATTTTTATGTGGTGCTGAGGATTGAACCCAGTACCTCACATGTGCGAGGCTAGTGCTCTACCACTGAGCCACAACCCCAGCCCAAAAACTTCCATTTTTTGAAATGTTTTGTATAGATTGGAATCATTATTGATGAGACCATTAATATATGATGTATAATCTCATTAAACCTAATTAATGTAATAAGTTGGCTTTTCTGTGAAAGCCTCACTTTTTTTTTTTTTTTCCTATTCTGTCTGCTAATGTTGAACAACATGAGCTTTTCTGCAAATGCTATGTTAGACTATTCCTGTGGTATTTCAACAATCCCTTTCTTTTCCTTCATCTTATGTTTCTTACTTGTTTTTGCAGCAGTGAAGATTGAACCCAGGATCTCATACATCCTATATCCCTAACCTGAACTACATCCCTAACCCTGAAATTGTTCATTTTGTATGAAAGAAAGCCAGGTGTAGTTGTGCATGCCTATATTCCCAGCTAACCAGAGACTGAGGCAGGAGGATTTTGAGTTCAAGGATAGCCTGGGCAACATAGCAAGACCCTGTTTCAGTAAAAAAAAAAAATTGTAGATGTATCTGATATTTGCCAGTTTTATATGTGTAAGCCAAATTCCCTACTTATTTTCAAACAACTATTGGCAACAAGTAATTGTCCAAAGTAGGGACAGGACTGAGAAAGCAGTGGTAGAGTGCTTGTCTAGCATGTGGGAAGACCTGGGTTTGATCCCCAGAACCAGAAAAACAAACAAACAAAAAACCAAAATAGGGACAGATTAAAAAAAAAAAATTGTGGCTGGGAGCGCTGGCGCACATCTATAATCCCAGCGGCTTGGAGACTGAGGCAGGAGGAACGCGAGTTCAAAGCCAGCCTCAGCAAAAAATGAGGCACTAAACAACTCAGTGAGATCCTGTCTCTAAATAAAAATAAAAATAAAAAAAACATGGCTGGGATATGACTCAGTGGTCAAGTGCCCCTGAGTTCAATCCCTGGGACCCCCCCCCCCAAAAAAAAAAATTGTGGGATAGAAGGTATAGCCCAGTGGTAGTGCATATACTTACCATGTGTGAGGCTCTGGGTTTATCCTTAATAAATACATATGTATATCTGGCTAGTAGTAGGTGAATAGGAAAATAAATCATGGTATATCTATATAATAAGATTATTGAATAGTCAAGAAATTATTATGGAAATGCTGAAGCTATGCCAAATTGGGGAGAAGAGAAACAGGTACTGCAGTTTTATAGTTAATATTGGGCTTTGGGGGCTGGGGCTGTATCTCAGTTGCTGAACACTTGCTTAGCATGTGTGAGGCACTGGGTTTGATCCTCAGCATCACATATAAATAAATAAATAAAAGTAAAGGAAAAAAAAGATTGGGCTTTGGAGTCACACCTGAGATATAAGTACAGTAGTTAACCCTTTTAGCTACAGTTTTGTTTTCCATGGTTTTAGTTAACTGTGGTCAACTGCAGTCCAAAAATAATAACTGTCAAATTCTGGATATAAAAAATTTGTAAGTTTTAAGTTTCACATTATTCTGGCTCATGTGATAAATCTTGTGCCATCTGCATCCCTTTGTTGTGTGTATTCACGTTGTATAAACTACCTATCTTAGTCATTCAATAGCCATCTGGGTTATCAGATTGAACATTCTGATCACACATTTGTATTAGGGTTCTCCAAAGAGAGAGAACCAACAGGATATGCATATAGATGTACAGAGGAGATTTCTTAGGATAATTGACTCATGATGTGTGGTGTCTGAGAAGTTTTATATTAGGCTATCTAAAAAACAGAGAAGCTGGTTTAATTCCTAAAAGGCTAAAAGTCTGGGAACCTAGAGGTAGAGAGTTGCTGGGATAAGTTCTGAACTCCAGAGGTCGAAAAGCTTAGCATTGTGATATCCAAGGCAGGAGAAGAGTCTATCCCAGTTCTTGGGTACAGGGACTAATTCACTTTCTGTATTTGTCTATCTTGGCCTCCAGCCAGTAGGATGGTGCTCATCTACAATGAAGGAAGATCTTCACTTTGTTCACCCAGACTCACATGCTAATCTCTTATGAAAACACCCTTAGTCTATATGTATTCCTTAATCCAGTCAGGTTGCCTAAAATTAACTATCAAAGCGGTGATGCAATGCATCAGGACATAGGAAAAAATAGTATATATAGAATTTGGTATTATCTGTAATTTGAGGCGTCCACCTTGGCAGGGAGGATGACTACTGTACTAGATTTTTAAATTCTAGCTGTGACCCTGACCAAATCAATTAATTTTTCAGTGTGAGACTAGTTGGAAGGATAATAAGATATTGAAAAATTTAACCAGGGGCTGGGGATGTGGCTCAAGCAGTAGCGTGCTCGCCTGGCATGTGTGCAGCCCGGGTTCGATCCTCAGCACCACATACAAATAAAGATGTTGTATCTGCTGAAAACTAAAAAATAAATATTAAAAAAAAAAATTTTAACCATAAGTTTTGGTACTGTATTTAGTAAGCCTTAAATAAATTGTGTGTGTGTGTGTGTGTGTGTGTATAATAAAAGCTAGGCATTGAAAATGCTGGGAAAAATGCAAAAATGCATGGAAGGTATCTGCAGGTTATAGAATTATACTTTTATATGATTTTAAAATTCATTGTCAGCATTTTCCAATTGACAATTTAAAACAGCTGACAAACAGGTTGGGAGAATAGCTGCATTAAAATTGTCTGGTCTATTTTTAATATTTTAATCTTTTTAATTACAGAGAAAAGTTATACCTTAGTATCAGGTATTAATTTTCTTCAGAATTCAGGCAATTAATGTTATCTCATCTTGTCATGGAATGACTCTGAGTTCTGATGTTAATCCGTGATGTTCAAGAAATGGTAGTATCATAAAGAGGTCATAACGAATTCTTTTTAGTATTGAAGTGGTTTTGCTTACAGTCCAGGAAAAAAACTAGATTATGCTGCTTTTCTTCTATGATTTCCTTTATAGTTGTTTTCTAAATGGTAGTTTTGACCCTCTGTGGGAAGCCATTCTCGCACGTGATTGGGCACTTCCCTGATTGGGTGTGAGGTGGTCTGGCTAAACTGTGTTGGAACTAATCCCCACCCTCTCTAGGTGCCAGAGCCCATCCGTGTTGGGGTGTGACTGACACTGACCTTGGAATGCCGTCTCCCTTGACCTTCATTGGAAGGAATTTTCCCCTGAATTTCTTGTTCCCCAATAAAAGGCCACTCCCTGGCTTGCTCTCTCTCTCTCTCCTGCTAGTCTGTGTAAACCTTGCTGCCCCACAGGGTGGCTCTAGGCAGGAGCCAGAGGGGAGAGCTGTCTCAGACCTGGTCAAAGAAAAAAGGTAAATTGAGTTTGTGTGTTTATTTTGATCTCACTAGTTAACTTCTACTGCTTCTAACCACTTGTATGAAGACAGCGTGCTGGTCGCGCAGTGGAACCCTCAGTCTCCTTAAAATTGTTCTTGCTGCATTTCTCTCTCTCTCTCTCTCATATATATATTTTAACCTTTGGTTTTAATACTATACTAGGGATTGAATCTAGGACCTCAGGCATGCTTAGACAATCATTCTACCACTGAACTACATCCCCAGCTTTTTTTTTTTTTTTTTTTTTTTGTAGACAGTGTCTCCCTTACTTTCCTGGGCAGGTCTCAAATTTGTGGTCCTCCTGCTTTAGCTTCCCAAGTAGCTGAGATTACTGGTGTCTGCCAGTATGCCCTGCTTCAATATATTTTTTTGTTTCCCAAGCCTCAAGCCTCTATGGGTGACTCCTAAATATAACTTCTGCTTGCTCTATATTCATACTGCCAATAAATTCTCTCCCTGAAGATTCAAATTGAAGATGTTCAGAATGCATATTATTTTGTTAATGACCACTCTTCTGTTAGCTGAAATTGAAATCTGTACAACTAAGATTATCTTCTTAGTCAATAAAACCTACAGTTCTTTTTCTGAATTGTTAATAATATCCAACTTCCACTTTATCTTCATTCTTTTTTTTAATTTATTTTTTAGTTGTACACAATACCTTTACTTTGTTTATTTATTTATTTTAAATATTTTTAAAGTTGTTGATGGATCTTTATTTTAAGTATTTGTATGTTGTGCTGAGAATCGAACTCAGTGCCTCACAAATGCTAGGCAAGCGCACTACCACTGAGCCACAACCCCAGCCCTGTTTATTTATTTTTATGTGGTGCTGAGGATCGAACCCAGGTCCTCGCGCGTGCTAGGCAAGTGCTCTACCAATGAGCCACAACCCCAGCCCTTTATCTTCATTCTTACTATGCTAATTTAGATATCATTTGTCATCTAGATTATACTTTTCTCCTATGTGGCTATAGTGTTTTTATATATGTTATAAGTAATAAATGTTTAACATATTAAAAGTATAAAAATGCCTGTTCTCCAAAAATAATGTACAATTTCTTCAACCATTTCTACATGTATTTAGATTTTTACAAAATTATTTTTGTTTTACAAAACAGGTTGATAAACATACATTGTACTGCAGCTATTTTTAGTTTTTTTCCCCCCCACCTCCATGGAGCCAGGCAGAATACTGGGGATTGAACCCAGGGGTTCTTTACCACTGAGCTACATCCCCAAGTCCTTTTAACTTTTTATTTTGAGACATGGTCT